TTTGGGCTGCGCCATCTAAGGTTGTTTGTATTAACGCTGTGCGTCGATGTATCCAGTTTTGATGTAGTGGCGTATTAATTGGTTCAGGTCCTATATTTAAAATCAAATTTGCTGTTACTGCATTTAAATAATCTTCTACAGAGTATTCAGGGTCTGTTCCTGTGAAAACCATTAAGGGTTTGTTTGATGTTATTGATGATCCACCCATAAGGTATGGATTCATTGTCATTTGTAATGATTCTGCTGCATTTGGCATTTGAGAAAAATTTGAAAGTTGGTTTCTTGTTATTTCATGTTGTTGGAGATAATATGGGAGTGGTATTTCATTTTGCATTTGTGATGGTTGATACGAGTGTGCAGTCATTGGATTTTGTTGTTGAATTGGTTGAAAAGATTGTGTATTAATTGGATTTTGTTGTTGAATTGGTTGTTGATGTTGTGCATCTATTGTTTGTGGAGAAAAATTTCTATGGTTTGTACATGTTTTCTGTATTCCTTGTCTACGATATTCTTGAGTATTTTGTGCAAATATATCTGGTTGTAAGAAATCATCATCTGAGGATAAATAATCCATTTGATAAGATGTTTGTTTTTTATTTTTATTTTGTTGAAAAAATGGGTAATTTTCACTGCGATCCTGTGGAGGATTTGGTTGAAAATTTTTGGAATTATATTGGGCCGTTGGGTTATCCCAGTTTCGAGGTTTTGTATATTGATTAAAATTCCTTTGTGGTTGATAATTTGTTTTTGATGTATGTGTATAATTATAATTATGGTCTGCAAAGTTGTTTCTAGTGAATGTTTTGCGTGTTTTTGATGGTATTGTCATGGGTCTGTATGTTTGGTAATCCATATGTGAATATTTAGGGACAACCGAAGGTTTAACGGTTGATTGTAAGGTTACCTGTGTTTGTGAAGGATTTGTATTTCTTGGTGTTGTTAAATTTGGGCGTATTGGTGAAATACTTTGTTGTGTAGTTGTTGTGTGTACAATTTCTTCATTTATGAAGTGTGATGGTGTCTGGATATCTTGTTGAGTAAGATTCCTAGTTCCATTGAGGTTTTCGTTGTGTATGACTGTAGAGTTTAAACTATTATTTTGTGTATCGGGTAAAAATGTATTATAGTTTAATGGTGTTGCATCAATTGTTAATGGTATTACTCTTACATAATCTCTTATGTAAGATATCGTACTTATTGCTTGACTTGAGATTGATTGTGGGAAGCTTATAAATGCGGGATGAGACCATTCGGGGTCCCAAACATAATCTGATTGTTCTGTGATAGCGGTATCATCGTTCGAATTTTGGGGTCTAAAATTTTTTCTTGCTTGTGCAATTAAATCAATATTGTGTGTGAAATAATCTATTATGAACCATGCCAAAATTTTTTGTAAATCGTGTTTGGTATGTTGTGAAACGTCGTCTTTCGTGAAATTTTCTTTAATGATGTTTAAATAACTAGAGAGTAGTGTGATTTCATGTCGTACTCTTAAATGTTTAGATGTTTCTGTCGGTGAGACATTTGTTAATGGGATTTCGTTTTCTAATATCGAAATATAACTATATATTATTGCGAAAACTTCATTGGTGAATATGGAGTTTGCTCTTTGTGAGTTATGATATCGGATGCTTTTTATATATTCTGAAAAAACTTTTGAAAATTCTAAATCAAGATCGTCTGTTTGAATTGTATATTTTCTATTATTATGGTTTGGTGAGGTGAATTCTATGGAGTAGATTCCATACTGTTGTGTTATGTTGCATATATCTTTTAGATAGTGATCTATGATTTGTCTTTTGATTTTTACATCGGGGAACTCTGTTTTACATGGACTGATTCCGGGTTCAAATAAATTTACGAGTAAATTTTGACAAAATATGTGTTGTCCTCTATCAGTATCTGCGTCTACTATAAAAGGAAAGATTTCATCATCATCTGGAGTTTCGTCACCTGGGGTGTGCGTTGAGCTCATTTTTTCGTTCGATGACTGTTAATATGTAATTATTAATGTGTCGAATTGGTTGATTCCAATTGTACAAATGTACTGGTTTGTGTTTATACTGCTTTTTTATTCTTCTTTTTCCTCTTTTTGATGAATTTGAAGTTGTTTCTGAGTCAGAAAAATATAGTTGATCGTGAAGTGGGCAATTTTTATCTATTGATTCTTTTAGTTTGTAAAGTTCGTCTAAACTGTTGGTTTCTGATTCTGAAAATGCGTTTCGATTTTTTGAAAATCTTTTTCGTGTTATTTGTCTTTGTTTAGTTATTATTTTCCTCTTTAGTGTTTGTCGTTTTGTGCGAATGTATCCAACTGTTTGTGTATGAGGTGTGATTACAAGGTCGTATTTTTTGTTATTTATTTCACAATTGTGTAAAACGATTGTTTGTTTATTTCCTAGGTTTTTAAATGACATAAGGTTTAGAATGACGGATGCAAAGGTTGTTAAATGATTTCTATTTTCCTAAACTGTTAGTTCTTACGATTTTTTGGTTAGCTTAACCTGGGTCTATTTGTTCAGGGTTGGAGAGAAAAGTATATCGATTCCGAAGAATGATTTTTACTTTCTCGTGACTAGTATAAGTTAAGGTGTTAACTTACTTAATCTTACTTAGGGGTAGTGATTGTGTTCAAGGGTTGGAGAATAGTAAATCGATCCACAAGGTTCAGGTATAATTAGAACGCGAGTAGTTCGTTAGATACTATTTTAAACTTACTAAGTCTAAGATTTATCCTGGGTCTGGTAAGAGGAGGGGTCAAGTGAAGGATGAATAACCGAAGTTCTTCACTATTTATCCTAATTTGAATGATTAGTTTTGTTTTTAAAAATTTCTATTAGTCTTGGGTCTTTAGAAAGGGTTGGGTAGTGAATCGACGTTTGAGGTCGTTAGACACTAATTAAGTGGGTGGGGGAGAACCAAGTTGTTCTGTTTGATCCAAGGATAAGCCTTGATGATCAAATTTAAAATTTAATTAAGTAGAAAATGATTTAAGATCCAAGGATAAGCCTTGATGATCTGGTTTTAAAATTAAGTGAATTTAAGTTTTAATAAAATTTTAAATGTGTGTAAAGGAAAGATTTAGTGTTTTGATGATGTTAGTGGGTTTATGATTGCTGTTATGTTTTAGATGATGGAGCTGGAACAACAGGATGATTTATGATTACTAACCATTTATTGTCATGCTACTAATTTTTATTTTTATTTTTCAATAAATATTTTTCAAACATATTTTGTATATTACTGCAGAGTTTTAGGAGAACGATCTTAGATCTTTTTATCAATCGTTATTGTATATTAATAATTTTGTTTAGCGCCTGAAATGATTTTGAAGAGTAACTTCAAGGTTTTATGTTTGTAAATGGAAATCTAAATTCATTGCAAGTAGTATTCGAAATATAAAAGTTTGTTCTGGCTTTTGCCGAACTATCATATAACTATACGGCAAGTTTCTACTTTGTCGTATGTCGTCTTTGGTTCGAGGTCTTCTTCCAATTCCGGGTAGTTCTGTTATGGTTCGGAATATTGGCTCTGATCTATTGAGTCGTAGAGACATTTCGATTAAATTATTGTCGTATAACATTTTGTAAATGTTTTTGTCTAATTTCTAATCTATTTTGGTTAATTCTAATCTATTAAGGTCTTGTTCGAGACTTATGGTCGCACCAGATGAGTTAGGACTGGAGTGTATAACTCATAGAGTAATTTCGGATAGGGTACACCGTCTGCTCGTCACGCTATCTTATTTTCGGCCGGATAGATTCGTGCAACTTCTTAGTCTAATACCGATCCTAATCTTACTCTTATACTATCTAGTCTCAGGTTGTTTAACTAGTCTCTGCTAGGCTCAATAGATCTAGGGTATACTGGTTTATTGCGGCTGCTGAAGTGCTCGGGAGAGTCCAACTAATTTCTAAGTTAAATTCAAATCTCTCTGGTGCTGAAATTACAAGTAACTTCAGCACTTACAAATAAGTGGGTTGTTAGTTAGATGGATCATGATTGGTTAATATTAAATACTTTACATTGGTAAAATATCTAAATTATCCAATCATAAAATGTAGTTTAGATCAGGTTCCAATTTTTCAATTAAACAACTTTCTTGACAGGTTGTCTCAAATTGGGTTTAGTCTCCAAATTGTTTTTTTTTCTGTCAACTAACTGAAAAACCTGAGCTTGTTTGCATTTTAATTACCCGTTCTGTTAGAACTTTGTTATTCATGGTGGTTGTAATTTTCCTAGTCCAATTTTTCTCTGAATCAGTTTTTTCAACTTTTTCTCTTGTTTTCGCTTATGGCAGCTTCATTTCGAATCGTTTGATGAGCAAAAGAAAGTTATCTAAAAGTTAAGAGGAGAGACTTAAATGCATTTTGAGTTTTCAAGTTCTTACTTAATTTATTTTTTTTGGCTCAGCGTATATCTGATCTGGTTTTTTTGGCTTTGTTACCACTGTGTACGATGTTTTTTATCATAGTGCTTTACTCTGGACGATGGTTTTTAAATCATATTTTTTCTTTTTTGTATCGTGTCAATTTCTGCAATGTAAGGTAGCAAATTTCGGGGGGGGGGGGCGATAATCGGTTAATTGAGGGCTTAATATCAGTATTTGTCAGAAAACTTTCGAAAGAAGCCTTCAAGCAATATTGAATTTGATGACTACTTATCACGACCCTTAAGAATTAACTTTGGCGATAAATCATTGTTGCATGTCGGACGTCCGTGTTGAATTGGAACTTGATTTGATAAGAGATTAAAATGTTTTTAGGGTGATGATCTGACATAGGGTAGATTGGAATAGGTAAATAGTCTTAGTAGAGATGCGAATTTCGAAGAGATGCTTGGCTTGACACCCAAGCAATGGTCCTTCCCAGCTACCTCTACGCGAGAAAAGCAATTGACCTAACTTTTTTGCTGCTTTTTTTTGTAAAAATAATAGTTATGATTTGTTCGTGGTGTAAAAATTGTCTTGTGTGTAATTTTGGATTTTTTTGTATGTGTAGGCCGTACGACGGTAAGTGGAGTAAGACTATGGTGGGCTATGGGCCTGAAGATGACCACTTTGTGGTTGAACTGACGTACAACTACGCTGTGAGGGACTACAAACTGGGAAACGACTTCCAGGTACGGTAGGTTAATTTAAGCTATGAGATGCCAGAAAAATGTTCAGATGTTTTTCAGTGTCGATGATCGTAGTTCAGACTCTTATAGAGGTCGCGATGATTGTTTTCTGAAAAATTACCGCTCATAGCGTCGGATTTTAATTTAGTGTAGAAAATTTTAAATTTCTTAGTTATTTCTTTTATCAATCTTACCCCTTCCAGTTAACTCGACATCTTGATAATTTAATACCCATGCGTTAAGCAAGGGTATTGCAACTGGGCACTAGACTTTTTTTCCGTAAATAGGCAAGGTCATGGGTCAATCTGACCAGGTCCAGTTTTTTTCAAATGGGAAATATTCTGTTTCAATTAAAATTGTCGGACAATTATTTGTCTGCTTATCTATTGCCGGCTTAGTTTACGCCTACATTTTGTAATTTTATTTACCTTGACTTCGTATTTCCTTCTGTGGTTTTTGTATTGCAGAAGGAATATTGTCGGTTCAATGAGATAACGGGTAGTGGGAAACTCCTCTGCATTAGCTGACACTAACAAAAACTTTAAAACGAGAAGTTATCGCCCTCTGAAAAACAATTTTTTTTTGATTTTTCGACCGTTTTTAAAAATTTTGAATTTTATCGAAAACTACCCTGTCATACCTTGAGATTTTGGGTTCAATTCTCAGAACGTGTTCAGGAAGCTCCTTTAATTATGCGGCGGCACCCAAAAAATTTTTTTACTCAAAAAGTTTTGGTCCTAGCAAAAATAAAAATTTTGTCTTTGACCATTTTTTGGAAACTTATTGACTTTTCTCGTCAACTACCCTTCCAAAACTACCCTGCCGTTTTTGAACAAACTTCAAGTAGAGTGGCAACTCGGCAGACTGGCATTTTTACGGCAAAAGTTACAATTACTCGGACCGATAGTTTCGATTTTTCAAAAATTGAATTTTTTCTCAAGGATAAAAGTTTCCGACAACGGCTGTTAGTGCACCGCCAAGCATACTTATCTATAATTTTCTTGCTCTCACAACTCATTCATTCTTGACCTGAAAATTGGACGGGGACAATGACGGGGCCTTTCCAGTAATTTTTTTTTTCGAAAAGCAAACACTATTGCCCTCATATCATTTTTAGTTTGATGTACAAAGTCAAAAAATAGCATGGCTATTAAAGGTTGTTGAATACCTTATTCTTTGTTGTGAGTTTAAATCTCAAGTTTTCACTGCTTAATTCCCAGTCGGGTTGGCTTAGTGGTTAGCTCATTGGACTGAAGGTCCATGGGCATGGGTTCGAATCCCAGTTGGAGCCAGATAATTTTCTCTGCGCAGTTGAGTCTGTTGCATCCACCACCTATTGCAATATATCACCGAATCCCGTAGTGTCGGGTTTTTTTTTCTAAGTTATTTTTTTTTCGAGGCATAATTTTTGTTTTGGTTTTTGCTTCATCAATTTTGTTTTTGGTTGTTTTTGCTTATTTTGTTTTTTAGTTTCCCCTCTATGTTTATAGTACTCCACAAAAGTTAATTGGACATCTGCCCTAGTCGAATGTCTTGTAGGTTCTAGGTCATTCTAACGTATACGATTATACTCTATGGTTCCCCACCTTAGGCCATTCTACCTTACGAAATTCAAGCCTATAATTAAGGTAATTGAGACTTAACTGATCTCTAACAACCGAGGATGTTATAATACGACTTCACTTTTGGGGCACTTTTACAGCTTTTTAAGAGCATGTGTTTTGACACTCGAATAGTAATAGCTTAACACAGTTGATGCATTTCTCGTTGTTCAAATGAACCAAAAAAACTATTTGCATCTAATGATTTCAGAAATTTTCTAATTCTAAATATCTCCCAATATTCTTAATTTATACATATTCGAATCGATCGCCTTGCCTAACTACAGCCTTCCAAGAAAGTTGTATATTGTTAAAAATCAAATTGCACAATTATAATAAGTTACAACAACGGCTTCACTGGGCTAGAAACAAATAAATAATTTACTAGTTTGTTTTGCATCATGTTTTCACTATGATGCTTTATTTCAGTTATCGATATATTTCATTGACTCTCGATTCAATTTGCCCATGTGCTTTACTGCATTATTTTTTTTGGTTAGCGCATGCAATTCGTTTTTGCTGAGGAATGCATATATGGCTCCCGTGAAAGAGAATTTGCATCAATATGGTATCCATCTACGGTATTTATTGTTCGGAGGAGACCAGAAGCGGCCACCTTAGAAGGGTTCCAAAAAGCAAAGGAAACTTACTTGCAAAAGCTTGGCTTGATTTTTTGGAAGTGAAACTTTCATCGCCCCGAGTAATTGTAGTATTCTTGCAATAGTGGGAGTTGAACCCGAAAATATTATCTGGGCTTAGAATTGTTCAGAAAAAGTTGGTTCGGGAAATAATTTTCATACTTCACAGACAGATCTGGCCAAGCTAGCTATGAATGTTTAGGGTCTGACAATCTCCGATGAACAGTTGTGGAAGTCAGTGTCCGAGTCAAGCTTCCCTAAAATAGAAGACAAATCAGCCGGTGTAATATGCGTTGAGTCGCCAGATGGATACAAATTCTATTTTTCAAGCAACTATTCCTCTTTCGAAAACGACAAAGCAGGTATAGTTTATCTTATCGTTGAGCTAAACAAATAAAGGCATTGAAGATTGCCTATTTTAATACTATTGCAAAGTAGAATCGTTATCACAGAATGTTATCACAAACCATTATCACAGAATCTTATCACAAACCATTCATACAAATAGTAATGTAAAGAACATCAGAAATAAAACTGAATTGCAGTGTTTTTCAAAGAGGAGGAGGGGAGGGGCGGCTGTGAATTTGGGCTGGTACGTTTTTGAAATCAGTTTCTTACTCGGATGAGTGATAGTTTGTACTTTGCAGCGAATTTTGTTTGGCCGTTTAATAGAGTGCGTTTTATCAGCTTTATTGATGGCTGATGTTCCGGAGATAAAATAGTGACAGATAGCAGATGTTGAACTTGGGGGATCGAATCCCTGACGGAAATCCTTTTTTAGCTCCCACTTTGCGTTTTTGTTCGTGTTTGCGAATTGCAGCTTCACATATCTGCCAAAAAATTGTTTTCTCCGTAATTAAGAGTAGTGAACGTAACGAAGACTCTTATATAGGTCTTGCTGATTTTTTTGTTTCGTTTTTTTTTTCAGGAAAAAAGTCTTAAAATTTGTTCACGCTCAATTTTGATTTTTCGCGGTTTGACTTGTGATTTCTTTTTAAGTTCAGTGCATTTCTTTTGTTTAAAGAAAGGCAAGCTCCACTATCGAACAGCAAAAGTGTAAAGGCAACGAAAATCTTCCTAAAATGGAGGGTAATTATCAGATTTCCCAGCGAAATAAAAGTTTTACCTTTTGATCCAGTTTTCTCAAATTGGGTTGATTTTAACAAAAAAGTGTCCATCACTGATTGGTCTACAAATTCAAAGAGCCATCTAAATTTTTATTCAAAATTCAAAAGTTGAAGATTTTTGAAAAAACAAGTCGTTTTTTTTCAGTTTCTTTACGTTCATTACTCTTTTCCAACTGTCAGTTGGCTATGTTTTAAATTTGGCTGTACGAAAAATATCGGATCTACTAAACAATTTACACCCCCCTATGGTATATACTACAGAGTCTCCACCCCTATAATTAATTGCACTAAATTAGCCCTAGAGTATTGAGAATTCGAATTTTGCTGCATGCTGATAGGTCTAAAAAAATTCGGCTACAATTAATCTACTCAACAATTTCCACCTTTCTTGAAAGAGGGGAGAGAGATTGTTAAGTAGATCCAAAATTTCAGCTCCAAAGTATCGATTCCTTCTGTATGTCTGCTTAAATATTAGCTGCCGGAAATTTCTCGTTGAAATGTTCGTTAGTGTGTAAATGCGAGCTTTAGAAAAGGTTTTCCCGATAAAATGGCAGAGTGCGTTGCCATTTTTTTTCATATTACAAATTTATTTTCGTACCCTTTTGTCTTTTTTTTCGGTGATCTAGATGATTATTACACCTATGAGCTTGCGAGAGATGTGTTGTATTACGAATCAACTTTTTAAAAATCTACTTGGCAAATAAATTTGCTCATTTTGGTTGCACGTTTAGTATCGGGAGTTTAATAACATGTGTTATTCGCTTTATCAGTGTGTAGTGTTTTGGTTCCGGAACAGGTTAAGTGCTCAGTTGTGTAGGGTCAGAGGCACATTTGGATGCTCATGGCCTGTAGGTTGATACCCGTAGAAGGAGTTTATCATTATTCAAAATTCCTTAACATTTTTGTCCTGGCTTTTTCTGTTTTTACCGTTTTAAAACTACCTCTTGGCGTTTTTGCTTGTGTTTGCGAAGTGCAGCTTCGCCTCTGTTGAGTTCGTTCTAATTGACTCCAAACTAAAGTTCCTATTCCTGTTTGATTTATTAAACAGGTATTATGAAAACGTTTTTTTTTTTTCAGATGAGATCTGGTTTTTTTTTTTTTTTTTTTTTTTTTTTTTTGAGACGCTTTTTTGAAAAATTCGCTTTCCCAAAAAACTACCCGTCAGATTCTCATAAAAGTGGTACCAATGGATTCAGTAGCGTTTCACCTACCTGCCTGCATGAAATTTAGGGCAATTTTTACCCTACCCCACCCCCTACGGTCTTAGAAAAGCTTCACAACTCGGTACTTTTTTCACTTTTTGCCCATTTTTTCGGAAATTTTCGATTTCCTCAAAAACTACCCGTCCAGATTTGGGATTAAGGGTTTAATCGATAGACCAGGTTGTAGGAAACTCCCATGCACAAGCGGCTGGTCCCTAATTTGCTTAGAGGAAGAGCTATAGACTTAGGAAAAGTCACTTTTTTGATTTTTTTGCCTATTTTTTCGGAAATTATCGATTTCCTCAAAAACTACCCATCCAGATTTGGAATTAAGGGTTTAATCGATAGACCAGGTTGTAGAAAACTCACCGCACAAGCGGCTGGTCCTTAACTTGCCTAGGGGAAGAGCTATAGACTTAGGAAGAGTCACTTTTTTGGCCTTTTTTCAAATCATTCCGTTTTCCTCAAAAACTACCCGTCCAGATTTGGGATTAAGGGTTTAATCGATAGACCAGGTTGTAGGAAACCCCACTACACAAACGGCTCGTCCCTAATTTGCTTAGATGAAGAGCTATAGACTTAGGAAAAGTCACTTTTTTGATTTTTTTGCCTATTTTTTCGGAAATTATCGATTTCCTCAAAAATTACCTATCCAGATTTGGAATTAAGGGTTTAATCGATAGACCAGGTTGTAGGAAACTCCCCGCACAAGCGGCTGGTCCTTAACTTGCCTAGGGGAAGAGCTATAGACTTAGGAAGAGTAACTTTTTTGGCCTTTTTCTCAAATCATTCCGATTTCCTCAAAAACTACCCGTCCAGATTTGGGATTACGGGTTTAATCGATAAACCAGGTTGTAGGAAACCCCACTACACAAACGGCTCGTCCCTAATTTGCTTAGAGGAAGAGCTATAGACTTAGGAAAAGTCACTTTTTTGATTTTTTTGCCTATTTTTTCGGAAATTATCGATTTCCTCAAAAACCACCCATCCAGATTTGGAATTAAGGGTTTATTCGATAGACCAGGTTGTAGGAAACTCCCCGCACAAGCGGCTGGTCCTTAACTTGCCTAGGGGAAGAGCTATAGACTTAGGAAGAGTCACTTTTTTGGCCTTTTTTCAAATCATTCCGATTTCCTCAAAAACTACCCGTCCAGATTTGGGATTAAGGGTTTAATCGATAGACCAGGTTGTAGGAAACCCCACTACACAAACGGCTCGTCCCTAATTTGTCTAGGGGAAGAGCTATACACTTAGGAATAGTCAATTTTTCGGTTTTTAGGCCATTTTTTCAAACTTTTTCGATTTCTTCAAAAACTACCCATCCAGATTTGGGATTAAGGGTTTAATCGATAAACCAGGTTGTAGGAACCTCCCCCGCACAAGCGGCTGGTCCTTAACTTGCCTAGGGGAAGAGCTATAGACTTAGGAAAAGTCACTTTTTTGACTTTTTTGGCCTTTTTTCAAATCTTTCCGATTTCCTCAAAAACTACCCGTCCAGATTTGGGATTAAGGGTTTAATCGATAGACCATGTTGTAGGAACCCCCCTACACAAACGGCTCGTCCCTAATTTGTCTAGGGGAAGAGCTATACACTTAGGAATAGTCAACTTGAAAAGTTCCCTCATGAAAACTTTTTACCAAAGCGTTACCAATGAATGCATAAGCTTCTCTTTCACTTTTTTTGCGTAGGAAGGGCGCTATCGACTTGAGAAACCTGAAATTTTAAAACAATTTTAAAATAATCAATATTAAAATAATCAAACAGGTCTCTCCAGCTTTCAGCTGGGCCCCTAGTACCTCCGTCATAGTTTTTAGCATGTTTTTTTTATTTTTACCTACTATTGATCCATTTGAAGTCCCCCTCCCCTTAATTGGCTGAAGCGGGTTTTTAAATCCCTACTCACTTGTATCCAGGTGCTGCTAAAGAGTGTTGCCTGTCTGTGAGCAATTTGGAAGCCAGTGTAAAATACTGGAGTGATTTCTTGCAGATGACACTCCTGTCTAAGTCAGACAAGGAAGCAGTGCTCACTTACTCCAAAGACAGTCAGTGTTATCTCAGATTGAAGCAATTAGATGAGGGTCAGCAGATTGAACATGCAACTGCTTATGGACGAATTGCATTTTCAGTACCAGAAGAGCAAGTTGGTTTTTAGTGAATTCGTATAGTACTTCTTTTTTAAAACCCTTGTAGGTTTTTTCAATCATACTTAACTTAAAATTGTTTTCATCATTTTTGCTGAAAAAACTCCAGCTGATCATATAGATCATATATAAAAGGTGGTTTTTCTTAGCTTTTTGTATTAGACTTGTTTCCGCTTTAGCAGTCACGGGGCATTTAGTTTTCGAGCAATGGAATGAATGATTTTTTGACGTTTCTGCCGTTTTCTGCACAACAGGGAGATCCAAGGTTATCCTTGCGTAAAGCAAGGGTGCTGCAACCGGGTACTAGACTTTTTCCACCCTTAACAACTTTGTTTTCAAAGTATCCCAGACGTTTAATATTGCTCCATAATAAATTCAAATACAAAAACATCTGGCGTAAAGAACACACCTGATTGGGACGACAAAGGAAGGCTTGTTTTCTAATTTTTCGGACTGTCAGTCTGTTTATTTTTGTCGGCTTAGTACCCGTAGAACGGGCTCTTTTTGACTGTTCAGCTGTCTTCTAAATTTTTGAATGCCATTTCAAACGCACCATTGGTGGAGGTTAATAAGTTTCAAGATTTTTTGCGGCTTTTTCAATAAATATTTTTATTAAAAACTTCTATATTCTTTTTTTAATAATAAGTTTTTTGTTCCCATAATTGATTTGCACTGAATTAATGCATGAGCGATGATTGTGATCGTGATAAACAAGCGTTGTCAATTCGGAACATAGACTTATTCTTTTAAACAGCTTGTCCAACAAATACACTGAATCATTTTCTCAAATCTGCACTTTCGTCAATCTACATATTCTGAGTATGTTTGCATTTTGAATAACCGTTTTTTGAATAATTTTTTTTTCATGTTGGTTTTGAATTTACCAACTCCGGTTCGGTATAAATTTGTTTTTTGTTTCGTTTTCTTGTTTTTTGTTTAATCGTCTTAAACGTTTTTTCTGTTTATAGTTTATCGGCTTAGTGGCATCATATTGCATCCGTGAATGAGCGAACAGATTTTCTATGTGTGTCTTTTGAGGGGGTAATTTTTTTTTGAAAATTTTCATGTTTCTTATTGAAACATTTGTCGAAAAAATTGTCGGTTTTAATACCGGTTAGTTTCTATGCAAATGTAACTTTCATCTTTCTTGCTGCAAAACATTTTTTGTCTTTGCAGCTGTCGTCTCAATTTTTGCCTGCTAGTTAGCAATTCTATGTTCGTGCTGTATTGCAAGTTGTGCGAAGCTCTGCTTCGCCTCGGTCTTGAAAATTTAACATATGATTGATAAAACTGCTTGAAAACTAAAAATTACAATTTCTATGTTCCGTAACTCTAAAATCTTATCATTGTCTTCGAAGCTGTCAACTATCTTGACGAGTCGTTTCTCAGTTTCTAAATAATTGTGTGTTTATCAGGTAGAGCAAATCGAGACCCGCTGCAAAGCGGAAGGTCACACAATTCTGACTCCGTTCGTGAGTCTCGACACACCTGGCAAGGCTACTGTTCGAGTAGTGATTCTAGCCGACCCTGTAAGTTGAGAGATTCTGTAAATTAACCGGTAATGTAAGTTCTAGCCGTTCCATGGGGAGTTGAAACCAATTTGTTCAAATAGCATTAGTTTTTAGAAAACTTAGCTCTATTCCTATCGTGTTTTATTGTTCCGACAACTGGGAGTGGGAACGAGCTTGAATAAGTTTTTTTCTGCCATTACACCATACATTTTGATTGCAATTCGATGCGAACAAAAAGTACTGATAAATTACTTAGTGTCGCGTTTTAAAAAACGGTTTGAAATGTTTTTGATGTTCAGTATCTTGCCAACAATAAAGAAATAAAAAGCCTTTCAGAAACAAAAGAGCGAGAATAACGTTTGCAGACGGTTGCTGTGCATGTAACTTGAAATTTTTAGAGCTAACTTATCTTTGCAGTAAGAATAAAAAAAAACTACTTTCAAATAAAATTCACTGTAGAATTTTCAACGTTTTGTTTTGAGTTCGTAACAGAAATTCTAAGATTTTAGCGGAATGTAATGTCATATTACGAAATCATTATATCTTTGTATCCTGGCTTATTGGTGGCTTGTGGTTGAAGATTTTCAAGCGAACCTGGTGCAGATGCTAGGATTTGTGACGCTTAAAACTCAAGGGCAGGGGTTCGTTTGAGGCACATAGTCGAATTTTTAGTTGTACCTTTTCTTTTACCTTTTTTTTAAACCATATTCTTGCTTGTATTTGCTAAGTGCAGCTCCGCCCATGTGTAAACTGACCAATTGATCCTATAAAGTTTTGAATGCTCAAAACAGAAAATATTAGGTCTGTCATTGATGTGTGTTATGGATTTTCGCTCTAAATCGGTCTAAAAACTCAACACGGAGTTCTTTAATAAACAGCGAAACATTGCTGAAAGGTTTTTGATGTTATGCCTCAACCCCAAGTATAGGAAAACTCTTTCGTTAAGAAAGTCCCTTGCGTGGTTTTATAAATGATCGAAAGCTTTCTGTTTTAACCTTAATCAAGCTTTAAGGAAACAATTTCGATTTTTTTTCCAGCCTTATTCCGCGATAAGTTTGACACATTTCGCATTATCGTTTTTAGGATGGTCACGAGATCTGTTTTGTGGGCGACGAAGGTTTTCGAGATTTGTCTCGAGTGCAGCTGAATGCAGACAACTGCTTGAAGGAAGCTATAAGTGCAGACAAGTCTGACGAATGGATTAAAAAGATGGCTGCTCGAAATGCAGACAGTTAATCAATACCGCAGTCAGCTTTATCATGTGAAGAGAAATATTTGCATAAACTAGATTTGAATTTCTTCTATTTTAAGGTAAATTAACATTGATTTTTTTTTGTAAAGCGTAGCTATTAAGTTAGACAATGAGTGAAAGGTAGTATTCATATAGATCACTTAAATATTTCAGTTGCAGAATGAAATGACTTATTGCAGGAAATATTTTCCTGTCCCTTGTTTTTTATATGTGAACTTCGGGCTTCAGAAGACAACTTTCCCGCTATTTCACAAGTAGTTTTATCAGTCCGAAAAAGCATCGCTTTATTATTGAAAGTTGTGACTGCTCAAGTAAAAATCCATAAGATCAATCAAAAAGAGTGAAAAATACTAGTTTTGTGATGATAAATTTGTTCGGTCAAAAATAACCAGTGCAATTTGTGTTCTTTTTCCAATGAATAGCGTGTAAGTTTACTGGAATAAATGAAATTTATCGAAAAAAGGTTGAAATTTATCGAAATGAAACGATCGAAAAAAAAGTTTTTGCGTAATTGGGTTTTGAAGATGATGTGGATTTTTTGGTATTTTCTTTTTTTCCGGCTTTTCGGCTGATGTTATCTCGGCGCAGAGGCCTCTTAATGTTTTACTTAATAAAATATTGAAACTTTGTGTCTGTTTTGAGGTTGAAGGGGACTTAAAAACTTGATTTAATTTCTAAATTTCATTTTTTTCGCCTTGATAGGTTTCGGACTCTTTATCTCAGCTTAGTGATGATTGAAGCGAAAGTGAAATGTTATTTTTACAAAGTAAAAGGCGATTCGTTAGAAGGTAGATCCTACAGAGGCATCCGATTACTAGAATACATATTCAAAGTTTTCGAAAAATTACTTGAAGACGTCTGAGGCAATTGATAAAAATAGATGACATACTATTTTATTTTATGGGTGGAAGATCAACTACTGATTCCGTTTTTCTTTTTAGACAAATGATGGAACTCTTGCGGAAAATAAAAAAAAAGACATGCATCACATTTGATGATCTCGAAAAAGCCTTCAACCGTGTTCCCAGGGAACTAACCCATGGGCTCTGAGGCAACGGAGAGTTCCCGAAAATCTAGTACGGCTAATTATGTGCCTGTACACTGGGTCGAAAACCGGAGGTCGCCGGGCCCAAGTATGCAGTGATTACTTCGAAATAAAAGAAGGCGTGCATCAAGGATCGGCACTTAGCCCATTGCTGTTTATAATAGATAGGGAAGACGCTTCGAGAAACCTGTCAATCCATGGTACTATGGGATATGCTACATGCAGATGACCATGTGATATCCGCTGAAATGCAATCCAAATCTATTGAGAAGTTTTATACTTGGAAAAATGCTTTGCGAAAACGCGGTCTAAAAATCAACGTGGATAAGACAGAATTTTTTCAGGCCAGAAATCTATTCCTCAATGAACCGAAAATTTTCCATGTGCTTGAAAAATTTCCGGCGCCGACTCAATAGGTAGCAATTCTTGTTATCAACGGGTGCATAAAAATGCATTAGCCTGAAAAACATACCTAAACAATACTTATTGTATGTCCAAGATGCAATAATCCCTCTAATTATCGCTCTAATCAGAATGCTACTCTACGGATTATTCATTTTGAAGCCGTGCGAACAGAGTTTTACTATCTCTGTGATATGATTTCCGTTGAAATTGGCGCAATACATGCGTCATCGGTCAAAATGAAAGCTTTCTGGACGAAGTGGTGGCAAGTTGCGCCTCTGCTGTTGAATAAAGATTGAAATTCTAACAAAAAAAAATTTGAAAGTCTAAGAATCTTGAGTGTTAAGGTGATGTATTCTTTTCTGTCAATAATTCATTAGTTTTATTTCTGTTTCCTTGAAGTCTTTGACACCTCTCCAATTTTTTGTTAGCTACGCAATAAATTTTCAAAATTCGTTTCTTGTAAGATCGATATTTTGTTTTTTCATTTTCCTCTTTTGCACAAAATTGTCAAATTCTGCAGTAGAAAAACTGCGAAGCAGCTCCAGAAGTTGCTGTTTTTCATTTTTAGCCTTTTTTCATCTATAATTCATCATCTGTATTGCACAGGGACTAGCAATCCATAGATATTTTTTACTTACTAAACGAAAATTCAATCCTTTTGATTCAAACCTTAACCAGGACTACGATGCAAACAATTATCCACATCTAAAATATCTTCAAATTTTTTTTTGCTTTTTCGCTATGATTATTTTTTCTTTTAATTGACTGTAAGCAACATTTGAGTTTTGAAGTTGTGAACGAGATGACTTTTACGTCAAAGCTTGGCCATTTTTTTGTAAACTCTAATATTACTTGAGCGGGAAAAGATTCAAGTTTCGAATCCGGCCAAGACAAGTTCTTTGCAAACTGAAAATTTTTCGCGTAAAAATCATTATTAGCGATCTACTGTGTCTGATTTTTTTTGTCCACTTAGTTTCCACAGCACGGACTAGTCTTCTCATCACTGTAATTTTTTTTGTTTTTTTCCAGTATTGGTGGGAGTAATTGTTATCCAACAAAATTCTCTGAATTGCAAAAAATTGAAGTTGCTTAAAACGCTTCTTAAGACGTGTGGTTTCTCCGAAAAAATGTCGATCACGCTGGAATTTGATTTGACAGTTTGATTTTTCTTGCGGCTTAACGGCCTCATATTGCGTTGTTCGACAATTGAAAAAAGTTTTTGCGTGCGTATGTAGGTTGTGAGGGAGAGAAGGACTTAATAACTTCTAATTAGTCTTTAGTTTTTTTCAGCTGTCCAATAAAGATTTAATGTGAGAAATTTATATTCCGTTATTTTATAGCAGCATATAATCAATCCTTAAATTTGGATTAGAGTTAATTTTGTATTCAGTATCGATCGTATCTAAGCATTGATTTTTTCTGACAGGCTAGTGGTCAAACAGAACCACTATGTCAATTTATGTCCCGAATTTGGTAGAAAGTGATGAAATAATCGTTCTCGTAAGGTTTTTGTGGAAAGCAATTTTTCATCTTAGCTTTAATGGACAGACTTTTTATACAGTCTAAAAAAATGGAAGCCGTCGAAATTAAAAGGATGTCCCACCTGCAACGGTTTTCAGCATCAATCTTATCGAAGCATTGATTTTTTCTGGCAAGCTAGTTGTCAAACAGAACCACTATGTCAATTTATGTCCCGAATTTGGTAGAAAGTGATGAAATAATCGTTCTCGTAAGGTTTTTGAGGAAAGCAATTTTTCATCTTAGCTTTAATGGACAGACTTTTTATGCAGTCTAAAAAAATGGAAGCCGTAGAAATTAGAAGGATGTCTTACCTGCAACGGTTTTCCGTGTAGTAAAAGGGACTTACACATTGCCAATTAGGATATGTTTTTTGCGCGCAAATTTTAACTTTATCTTTACGCGTAACGCATATAGCGAAATAATCGCATATAGCGAAGTCTCAGAAATGACTCCAAACTCAGTTGAAATAAGCCAATTGATATATTGTACACCGAGTGCGTATGGATCATAATCGATCAAATTGTCATTTTATGGTCATTATCTGTAAAATTACAAAATAATCAATTTTAATTCAATAAAATTGGATTAAAATCCGAATTTTTTTCTTGTGTCAATATAATCCGATATAATCGATTAATAAGAGATTTTTTTGAGAACTTATTCAAGAAATTTACAAGTTTTTTCAAGTTTATCTCACTTCATTTATGTTTATCTCTTTTCCTGTTTAAAGCAGTGGAGTAATACGTTTTACATTTCATAAATTGTTACATTTCACATTACAATTGATATAATTTTTTTGTCTCTACTTTTTCAATTCATGGCAGTTTAACACTTTATTTAACTGTTTGTTTTTACACAACCGCCATTCGCTCCTCCTCCTGCATGGGGGATAATAGTTGAACGATGGTATTATTTAATAGTAGAATTAGGGGCAGGGTTAGTGGTTAATGATTGAACCCATCGTTCCCCACCCCCAGTTTTTCCCTCTAGTGTACCCACTCTCTCGGCGCGTTAATTGAACGTGGCTGGAGGTGTGGTTTAAAATATTTCGGGAAAGGGGGGTTGATGTCGAGTACCGCCCCTTGTGGGGCTAGTAAATTTAAGTTAACCTTGGGATGAAGTTGTTGTAACGTGATTTAATTTTTACTTTTTTTGATTGTTATAACTGTAAATTATATGGCATGGAGTTTTTTGTTCTGTTTTTTGGCATTTTTTCCGGCTCTTGGCCTATGTTATGTCAGGCCAGTGGCGTTTAAGTGTTTCAATTCATAGAATATTGAAACTTTGTGTCTGTTTTGAGGTTGAAGCGGACGTAAAAACTTGATTTAATTTCTAATTTCCATTTTTTTCGCCTTGATAGGTTTCGGACTCTTTATCTCAGTTTAGTGACGATTGACGCGAGAGTGAAAGGTTTTTTTTTACCAAGAAAAGGCGATCCGTTAAAATGTAGATCCTACAGAGGCATCCGCTTACAGGAACATGTATTCAAAATTTTCGAAAAAGTACTAGAAAACGTCTGAGGCATACTTCCACCCAAAAAATAGATGGCATACTACTTGATTTTTTGGGTGGAAGATCAATTACTGATGCCGTTTTTCTTATAAGACAAGTGATGGAACTCTTTGCGGAAAAGAAAAAACTCATGCATCACATTTGTTGATCTCGAAAAAACCTTCAACCGTGTTCCCAGGGAACTAACCCATGGGCTCTGAAGCAACGGAGAGTTGCCGAAAATCTGGTACGGCTAATTATGTGCCTGTACACTGAGTCGAAAGCAGAGGTCGCCGTACCCAAGTATGCAGTGATTTTTTCGAATTAAAACAAGGCGTTCATCAAGGTTCGGCACTTAGACAATTGTTCTGCATAATAGATATGGAGGCTTCGAGAAACCTGTCAACCTATGGGGTATGCTATATGCAGCTGACCTTGTGATATCCCCTGAAATGCTATCCAAATCTATTGAGAAGTTTTATACTTGGAACAATGCTTTGCAAAAACGCGGTATAAAAATCA